TAAGTTTCAACAAAGCATTAATCATATCATATGAGTGCAGCAGCTCAACTCCCCACTTTCTCGCCTGGTATCACCAAATTCCAACCCACACTCATTCATCATTCTTGGCTTCCTTTTTCGGTAATCTAATATCCTTCATTCCTTGCGTCTACTAGTTCATTATAACTTATGATTCTGTTGTATGTACTTTGTAGTAGCAGGAGAGATGTTGATCAACGTGAAGAACTCGACCATGGTTTGTCCGGCAGAGGACACACCACGAACAGCAATATGGAACTCCAAACGTAGATTTGGTGGTACCAAATTTTCATACACCCAGCGTCTACTTTTACAGACCAAACGGCGCGTCCAATTTCTTCCACGCTAACATTATGAAGGAAGCTCTCAGCAAGGTGCTGGTTCCGTTCTATCCAATGGCAGCTCGTCTCCGCCGTGACGACGACGGTCGTGTTGAGCTTTACTGCGACGGTCAGGGAGTGCTCTTTGTGGAGGCTCATACAACTTGCCTCCGTTGATGATTTCGGAGACTTCGCTCCGACGCTTCGGTTGCGTGAGTTAATCCCAGCCGTTGATTACTCCGCTGGTATTGAAACGTATCCACTGTTAGTATTGCAGGTGCGTTTTCCTTCAAGCTCTTGTTACTTCACTTTCTACAAAACGTTTCAGCAAACTTTTTTTTTTTCTTTTTTTATTAATTAATTAACTTAGGACATTCTTCATTGAGCATTCTGTCCATCCACTACCTTTTATTTTTTCTGCATTGAATAATGACTACTTTTTTATAATTTATCTTTTAATATGCCTTTTTTTTAGTTGTCAGTGCACAAAAATCCAGAAGAATCAATTATATTAAAAAAATAAAGAGAATAATAATCGTAAAAGTTAAAATGTTGTTGTTTTAATGATATTTATAATCAATTTATTTATACACAAAAGAAAATGTTAGATAGACTTTAATAGCACGCGCATTTTGAGCATCAAATAACTCAAATATCTTAATCATCTATATGTTTCGGTTCTTACAATCAATAACATGAAGTTTGATATTCATATTACATTTTCGTACATCTTTAATATTGTATGACTCATTCAAATCTCACAAGCACAGTGATTCTCAACCTCACAGAATCAGAAAAAAAATGTGATTTTGTTCAAGATCTAACACAGACCCAGAACCAAAATCAATCACACAAACGCCTCACGTTTCACTCGTGTTTTCTATGAATCAAAATCGAAATTTTGATATCATTTATTAGGGGAGTTATTAGAAGCATTGATACATAGTATATGACTAAGCAACTTTGTGAGAAACACACCACTGATCCACCTAAAACCTTAAGGTGATAAGTGAATGGGTTCTCCCACTTATATATACTGAAGTCTTCACATTCCTATCAAATGTAAGACTATTTCCTTACTTACTCATATTTGCATTATTATTTTAACAGGAAGATATTAACTCTTCCTACCATTTTTAAATAACTTTAATTTATTTTACTTTAACTTTAATTTATTCTTTTCTTTCTTAAAATTTTAAAAAAAATTATTTTTGATAAAAATGTAAGGAAAAAATTTTAATTAATATATTATAATTTTATAATTTTTTTAGTCATTCTATTATTATATTCCTAGTTATACTCTTTATGTATAAATTAGCCATATTTTTCAAATAAGTCTGGATTTGTTTGAATATGATTAAGTGAATTGGACATTTTAACTTTTACTTCATTTCTAGACACAGTTTAGGAAAATTCTTATTTATTACTTTAATTTAATTTTGGCCATTTTCCGTTTCTATCCATCCAATTACTACGTTTTTTTTATTTAAAAAATTATGAGACTTTTATTTATGATTTTTTTATAGACATTTTTTTATGTTAGGAAAAAAATTATTTATATATTATATAACCAAAAAAAATTATTTATATATTTTTAAATAAATTTAAATTATATATTATTTTTTGTGAGTTTAAAAGAGAAAACTATAATAAAACAGAATGAGAAGAATATTAAATCTTATTAAAATATTATAATAATCCTAAATAAATATTTTATTTATATTTTACTCCTTCTATTTCATGCTATTTAGAAAAATAATTGTCTTAAAAAATAGTATTTATTATTTCAATGTAAATTTTAGTTATTTATTTTTTAATTACACTGCCTTACCTCTCCAATTTTGTATTCACTAGTTTGAATTTATAAGATGAAAATAGACCTTAATATATGCAACGGACTAATTAATGTTCTCTTTAATGAATTGAGTGGATTGGCAAGAATTTAAGCCTAACCATATGATGGAGCATTATTGTGGCAATTATGAAATACTGCCCCGCAACTATAGTAGAGGAACCAACCCACCTAAGAATTTATACAATGCATGCAGGTAACATATTTCAAATGTGGAGGAGTTTCCTTAGGAGTTGGTATGCAACACCATGCAGCTGATGGAGCCTCTGGTCTTCACTTCATCAATTCATGGTCTGACATGGCTCGTGCCATTCATGTTTCCATTTCACCATTCATTGACAGAACATTACTCCATGCTCGCCATCCACCTCGACCTGTTTTTGATCACATTGAATACAAACCTCCACCGGCAATGAAAACTGATCATCCCTTACTGCAACCTGCAAAACCAGACTCAAACACTACTGCTGCAGTGTCTATCTTCACATTGACCCGTCACCAACTCAACATCTTGAAGGGTAAGTCCAAAGAAGATGGGAACACTATCACCTATAGCTCTTATGAGATGTTGGCAGGTCATGTATGGAGAAGTGTAAGCAAGGCAAGAGCACTTCCTAATGATCAAGAAACAAAACTGTACATTGCAACTGATGGAAGATCAAGGCTTCAACCTCCACTTCCACAAGGTTACTTTGGCAATGTCATATTCACAACTACTCCAATAGCAGTGGCAGGGGATTTAATGTCAAAACCAACATGGTATGCTGCTAGCAGAATCCATGATGCATTGTTGCGAATGGACAATGATTATTTGAGATCTGCTTTGGACTATCTTGAGCTACAACCTGATTTAAAAGCTCTTGTTCGTGGAGCACATACTTTTAAGTGTCCAAATCTTGGTATTACTAGCTGGGCAAGGTTACCGATTCATGATGCTGACTTTGGTTGGGGAAGACCTATATTCATGGGACCTGGTGGAATTGCATATGAAGGACTATCTTTCATCATTCCAAGCTCAACAAATGATGGTAGCTTGTCTGTGGCAATTGCTCTGCCTCCTGACCAGATGAAGCTGTTTCAGGAATTTTTCTATGATATTTGAGAGGGATTCATTCATTTAACCTATATATATATATATATATATATATAGGTATACTTTGGGAATGCTATAATCTTTCTAAGGCTGTGTCTTATTTCCCAGTTTTCTGTTTTTTCTTTTCATGCACAATCAGGCTTGTTTTTGGTAACCAGATAGGTATATGGCTTGGAAAAGTGTGTTATGTACTTTTTTCGGTGGATATATTTGACATCACATTTGGACAAGATTTGTGATTGCTTTCAATATTGTTTTTGGGTCAAAGATGTTGCTCATCTTGACAACATTTCATCTTATAAGGGTTGAAAACGATCTTATAAAGTATTTTGAAGGATGGCCGTTAGACAACATAACAAATTGTATTCCAATTTACCTACTTCAATAATGATAATTAGAATTGTATTTGAAAAATAGTACACATATGTAACTCTACTAGTAAAGAGTCATTAAAACCTCTATGTGGGTATTCGAATGAATTATTTTCTTGTGTCTCTTCTCTTATTAGAGACTTTGTCTCACTGTTTTGTTTATGTTGTTAAGATCTAAAGATTATTATCAGACTCATTATTAAGTTAACGAAATTCAGTCCATTAATATTGAAGCGGCCCTACAGCCATACCTCATGGTAAGGAGAGGTTGTCCCCTCTTTTACGTTGACGAGCTTAACAGATTATGATCGAGATTGGTCAGAGCTCGGAGCTCACTTGAGTATTCTTAAGGGTTCAAGAATGTATTATAGATATATTGGTACATAGTCACCCAAGCACTAGTCATGTCAACACAACATTGAGTATACTTTATCGTCTCCATATGGACTGATGTGTTTCCAAAGATTGTTCAATTATGCTTATGATTTTAAGGATGGTTTGTCAAAGTTTGTCTGTTTAAAAAAATGGAATAAAAGAAAGTATATTCAAATTTGGTGTTGAGAGTTGAGAAATTTATTAGGGTTAGATTTCATCGACCTATTATCACGTATGACTGTAATCAATAATATGCAATTCTAATTAGATATTAATATTACCACTTGTTGTTTTGCGTCGTAGCTTATATCTAAGTCAGCAACATGAGATCAATCCTATTATCAAATAAACGATTTCTCAACCTATTAATTGATATGATAACATTACATTTCGATAGTTTATGTGGCTGGTAAACTTAAATCTATTTCTAGAGTTTAGCATCTAGTAGGTTAAAAGCTGGGATCTAGAAATGAAAATATCTCTCAATATCAAATCTAAACAATGAAAACATGTTTTAGATAGTTAATCCAAAACAAGCATTAAGCATGAAGAATTAATCAATATTAAAGCACAAGAAGAACTACATAAAATATCATTATCACAATCGATACATGGACATTTGGACGACTACATCTAACCCTAACAAAAGAGAGTTTAGCAACAATTACTCACCATAATTTTATAATTATGATCTAAAAGAAAGAAGTTAAAAAGCATATGTGCCGATTTCTTGGGCAGTGCTCCAGCCTTCAATATTCGTCTCTTTTCCTCTTTTGTTGTATTTCTTGATATGAATTATGGTGAAATGAATTTTCCTATTTATATAGTTCTAACGTTGCCTCCGTACTAAGTGAGGATCGTAGCTTTCTCAGCGAACTTGTGTTTCTTCTCCCCTAAGTTAAGCTAACTCGTCTTCAAGTGGAATTTGTCACCATACCTCATTTGGAGATCCTCTCATTCTCGTATAGTAAGAAAACCTTTCCTTTCCTCTGAAGTAACTTTACTAAGAAGCATTGAGATTTCATTCCTTGCTTAGAGAGTTTGACACTTATCTTAGTGATTTTATTGCTTACTTTTGAAGTAACTCGGTTCTGAAGACATCTTGTATCATTATTTCCCACCTAGCGGCATCTCGTCTTAGCTTAGGAAGAATATCTCTGGAATTTTCTTTATTCTTTCCCTGTTGCGCTAAGCGAGCCACAATTTTTGCTTGGAGGGATTTGATTATTGTTTGTGTGTTTTCTTGGTTTTATTAACAGTACTTTATGAATGTTCAACAAATGTATCTAAACACATAAGGGGAGTGGGTGAACCTTTGAAATTATATTTCCAATAACTAGGCTTACACAATTATCTAGAACCCTATACTTACATCCCACATAATAAATCTCAAGACTATGTGCAATACAACAAAAATATATACGAAAGCTAGCGTTCTGTTTAGTGTTATTTTTCAGTTGTTTGTTGTTGTCATATTCTTACTTCAAATCTTCAGCTCCTTATATACAGGCAACAAAAGAGTCGCTGGAAGATGACTTCCACAAGTGTCTTTGTTGAGAAACAATTTCCATGATAGAGACGTTGAAAGTTGATATGTTAAGATCTTTTACCTATGTGTAATAGTTTTGTCCACTTCATCTTTCTTCATACTAGGTATCTACGAATATGTTTGAGCATACTTAAGATGTCGCGTCAACTTTCCTTGAGCCTTGCACTTCAGAAAATCTAGTAGACTTTCTCCCAAAATCTAGTTTGACAATATGGTTCTGCTTTAGAGACAGAGTACGGACCAGAGGCTAAGTACCTTTAATCTAGTTCATCAGAATCTGAGTTGTCACGAGAAGTAGAGATACCAAGTCTGAGTCACCATATTTTGTTCCTTCAAAAACTAATACTTTAGTTTCTCTTCATAATCTATTTAACATGGTTAAAACCAAGTTATCTTTAAGCTTATGATCATGCACACTTAACATATTTTAGTATATCAAATGGTTCTTTCAAGTCATCAAGATTTTATGGATACAAGCTCTCAACAAATCCTCTAATGTCTAAACAGTTCTCTCTGTCTGACCATCTATCTGCGAGTGATACGCATAACTCAATCTCAGCTTAAAGCCCAACGCATCTTGCAGACTCTTCCAAAAATCAGAAGTAAACCTTGGGTCTCTATCGGATACAACACTCGACGGAACACCGTGTAACTTCATAAATACGCGGATATAGATCTCCGCCAACTTCGGTACAGGAAAACTGATATTAGTCAGAATAAAATGAGCTAATTTTTTTAGCCTATCAACAATCACCCAAATTGTATCATGTCCTTTTAGAGTTCTTGGCAGCCACGTCACAAATTCCATCGATATACTATCCCACTTCCACTCTGGAACTTCTAATGGTTCCAATAATCCCGTAGGTTTCTAATGTTTGACTTTCGACTTCTGACAAGTCAAACACGCATGCACAAACCACGCCACATCTTGCTTCAGTCCGGACCACCAAAATAACTTCTTCAAGTTGCGATACATTTTAGTAGCTCCCGGATGAATACTCAAACTACTCATATGACTTTCTTCTATAATCATCTTTTTGTCTCCATGTGATCGGGGATACAAATTTTGTCTCGGAATCTCAACACACCTTGGACATCTATTTTAAAATCACTATCTTCAGATTGGTCATTCCTAACCAAGTCTACAAACTTCACATCTAACTTTTGAGCCTCTTTAATATTATCCAAGAAATCATTGTTAATTTTCAACATTCCCAACATCACACTCTGTGGTATCATTTCACATACTAAAATCATGTCTCTGAATTTCTCGATCAACTCTAATTCTCTAACCATCATAGCAGACATATGTAACGTCTTCCTACTTAAAGCATCTGCTACAATGTTAGCTTTATCAGGGTGGTAATTCAAGCAAAAGTCATAGTCCTTCAATAACTCTAATCACCTTCTTTGCCTCATGGTCAATTCCTTCTGATCAAATAAATACTTTAAACTCCTGTGATCACTAAACACTTCAAATCAGGAACCGTAAAGGTAATGTGTCCAAATATTTATTATAAACACCACTGCAGATAATTCAAGATCGTGAGTAAGATAATTCCTTTCATGAATCCTCAATTGTCTCGATGCATACGCTACTACTTTATCATTCTGCATAAGCACACCACCTAAACCCAATTTAGAAGCATCGCAATACACCACAAACAGTTCTTCAGGATGAGGTAATATTAAAATCGGATTCGTTGTCAATTTCTTCTTTAGCTCAACAAAACTTTCTTCACATTGGATGTCCCACACAAATGCCCTGCCTTTACAAGTCAGTTGAGTTAGCGAAAGTGCTAACTTAGAAAAACCTTCAATAAATCTTCTGTAATAACCAGCCAAACCTAAAAAGCTTCTGATGTCTGTGACTGACTTTGAAGCTTCCCACTACAACACTGCATCTACTTTGGACGGATCCATAATAATTCCATCACCTGAAATAACATGACCAAGAAAACTAACCTTCTCCAACCAGAATTCACACTTTGACAACTTTGCATACAACTGCTCCTCTTTCAACACTTGCAATACAATTCGCAAATGCTTAACATGTTCTTCTTCCGATTTTGAATATATCAAAATATCGTCAATGAATACTACCACAAACTGATCCAAGTAAGTGCAAAAGATACGATTCATATACTCCATAAACACTCTCGGCGCGTTAGTAACACCGAAAGGCATCACTGAATACTCATAATGTCTATATCGAGTTCTGAAAGATTCTTCTGAATATCATCATCCTTGACTCGAATTTGATGATAACTCGATCTCAAGTCAATCTTACTAAACACGCATGCACCCACCAATTGATCCATCAGGTCATCTATTCTTGGAGGTGGGTACTTGTTTTTTATTGTCACTTTATTCAGTTGTCGGTAATCAACACAAAGCCTCATACTACCATCTTTATTTTTCATCGATAATAATGGAGCTCCCCAAGGAGATACGCTTGATCTCACAAACTTTTTCTCAAGTAAGTCTTCTAACTGCTTCTTTAACTCTTCTAATTCAAACGATGACATCATGTACGACACCATAGAAATAGGTATGGTGCCAGGAACAAGTCCGATAATGAATTCCACCCCTCATCTAACATCACCACGTGGCAAATAAATTAATTCCAGGTGCTGGGACCATTTTTAAAATAAATTTATTTACATTAGCTTTCTAACGCTTCGAACAGAACTCGAATCTGACGTCCAGGACTC